GGGTTAAGGGTGTGGGGGGAGGAGTGCTGTCCTTGTATGAGGTCACGGGGTGGTCAATCCGGGGTGCAGCTGCTGCAAGTGGGGCTTGGGATGACACAGCGCAGCGCTTCTGGCAGCCCGGGGCCAGCGACCGCCTGCGGCGCCCTGCGTAGGGTGAGCGCCGTTGACATCGCCGCAGCACACCCCAACAACATTACAAGCTTCGCAGCGCCCGTCCAAACAACCCCCCATAAACACCCTCTTCCCACACACACATACACCCCAACACGGGGCCACCAAGAGGGCTCAACAGGCACGCGACGCACCGCCTGCTCGGGCGCCCGCCCGCGCTTCCGCAGGGACATGCCCCCCTCTTCTCGGAACATGGGCAGCGCGTGCGGCGTCTTGATGCACAGCGGCACGAAGTCCAGCGCGCTCGCGGCGCGCGGCGCGCGCGCGACGGGCAGCAGCGCGCCGCGCTCGCTGAAGGACGGGTCGTAGAGCACGTGGGTGCCGCCAGACTTGCGGTTGCCTGCGAGGTGTTCGGGGTTTGGGGTTTAGGTGTTTGGGGGTTCAAAGGCACGACCGATAGGGCGGCAGCGCCAAGGGAGGGACGCCGTAGGTGGCCCCAGATGGGGGGCCGCGCCCGGCCCCCTCGACATTTGAGAACAACACGAGACTCCACTCACGAGGCCGCCCCGCGTCTCAAACTCAGCTCACCGACGCCGACAAAGATCTGGTTGATCCGATCGTGCCACTTCACCGCCGCCGCGTGCGCCGGCATGCCCAGCGCCCGCACCACCCGCTGCTCCTTCACGTCCACAAACACCACAGTCCCGCCGCCCGCGTCGTTGCGGGGGTCCTCTGCCGCGGTGCCCGTCATGACCAGGCGCTCATCCGGGGAGAAGGCGACGTTGGTGGTCGAGTAGTTGGTGGGCAGCCCTGAAAAGGTCTTCAACGGGGACTTGAAGTTGCGGAGGTCCCAAAGCCGCAGGGTGCCGTCCGCGCCGCGCGACGCGAGCGTGCGATCGTCCTGAGGAATCGTGCAGGGGATTGGGGGGGTGCGGTCGTCCTGACGGGTTGCTGAAGCGCGTGGCGGGCCCGCAGGGAGCTCGGCGATGGGCCAGCGACGAGGCGCGCGGGTGGGGCGGGAGGCCAGCTGGAGGCGCGGCCGTCTTGGCAGTGTGCGCGTGCGACGGCGCGTATCCACACGCAAACATGCTGAGGTCCCGCATGTGTCCGCAAGCGCGTGCGTGCACACGCACTGCCTTGACCTGCTTTTCTGTCTGTCTGTATGTCTGTCTGTCTGTCTGTCTGTCTGTCTGTGTCAGTCTGACAAACTCTCCCTCTCTCGCCGGCGACGACGCCCTCTACTCTGCTCACTTCCTCTGCTGTGGTCACTCCCTCGCTCGCGCACCCACCTGCGTGAACGCGAGCCCAGTGATCTCGGTCTGCGGCTCGTGGGCCTTGCGGGCCACCTGGCTGGGCTTCGACACATAGGACCAGCCCTGCTTCTCAATGTGCTGCGCCGACGGCGGCTGCACGGCGCCGATCGCGGCCGACCGCCCAAACTTGCCGCCGACGCTCCAGACCTGAGGTTTGTTGAGGGAGGACGAGTGAGGAGGATGTGGGCAAGGGCGTGGGACGGGGTCGGCTGGCACATCACCAACATGGAGGGAAGTGCAATCGCCAAAGGCCGGCCCACGGCGGGTACTCGTTGGACCTGGCCAGGCTGATCTTTGCTAGACGTGGATTTGGAGAGACAGGCCTTTGCTGGAGGTGCCAGCAGTCAACGCCGAAAGCACACCCGCTGCGCCTGACTGGGCCTCAACCAGCTCCGCATGAAGCTGACAGGAAGCTGCCCCACAACTCGGCAACTGGCCCGCGCAGCATCCGCAAGCCCTACCAGCGGCCAGGAAGAAAGGCCAAGAATATACTAGGGAGTTTTGGGATCAAGTCATGAATAACCGTTACCCGCCCACCTGTATGGTGCCGTCCATGATGCCGGCTGCGATGAGGCGGCCGTCGCTGTTGTACGCGCAGCTGGAGACGGCCACGCGGCCGGCGCCGGCCAGGGAGGGCTTGATGACTGTCTTCTGAAGTACGTTCCAGGTGTCCCATATCCTGAGACGGCATGCAAGAGGAGGTATGTGAGTGTGTGTGTGACTATGTGTGTGTGTATGTGTGTGTGTGTGTGTGTGTATGTGAGCGCTTGCATGAGCAGCAGTCTTAAAACACACTTCCAATTCTGGAGGGGGCACAAAGCCACTACACACAAATCACCCTGCCGCTGAGAGTTTGGCAACGCTTCCGTGATCGATCTCACAGCTGCTCAGGATTTGCACGCTCTCGCGCGTGCGCGTTGCGCCAACCCTAGCCTCGCGCACCGCACTGTCCCGTCCTCGCTGGCTGTCATCGCCGTGAAGCGGTCCGTCGGGTGCCACACGCCGCACGTCAGCCCGCTGACGTGGCCCTTGGTGTTGCGCATGTCCCGGATGTACATGTCACCGCGGATAAACTCCCCCTTCTCGCGGCCGTCCCGGTCGTAGATCTGAGGGGCGCGATTTTTGTTTATGTTTGTTGATTGGACAGCAAATTCAGCTGGAGAGCAGGATGAGGTCTGGGCGCTTAGGGTTCAGGGCTACAATGCAGCAGCGGAGGCAGCGTTTCTCGCTGGATTCCCAAAAAGCAAGGCACGATCAAGACGGCTTGGAAGCTGGCACGGCCAAGGACTGGGGTGTGTTGTGATGGGTTGAGGGGTGAGCGCGGGCCGCGCGCGCACTTTGGCCTGCGCCGCGCCGGTGACGGCCAGGAAGGAGTCCCCGGTCGGGCTCCAGCTGACGGAGTACACGGGGTGGCCGTCATGGGGGGTGACCTCTCTGTGGGGGTTGCGGCAGGCGCAGGTGGTTGGGAGGCGGTTGGGGGGGGGTGTGATCGCAGTGCATTTGGCTGTTACTAGTGGGTGTCAGTTCGACTCCAGAAGGGTGCGGGACAGGCCGAGAGACTGTTGGGTTGTCGGGCGACCCACATAGCGTGGCAAAGCAGAGGGCACGAGCTCAGCACGAAACCGCACCAAACACGACGCCCTCTGCCAGCCAGCCAGGGGACGCACCGCTCGCCCACCGCGCGCAAGTGACAGGGCTCCCATTGACCGCCCTTACAACCCCGCCGCAGACACGCGGCCCACGACGCCTCCCTGCATCCGCGCCCCCTGCCATTGCAGACCGTCCCCACGGCATCCAGCTAGCGACCGCAGCCTGCCGGCCCACCTGAAAGGCTTCAAGTCCGACCGCATCCCGTTAAAGTCGTACAGGCGCACCACGTTGTCGACGCTGCCCGCCGCCACGCGGCTGCCGGTGTGCTCCACGTCCAGGCACGTCACCGCGCGCTCTGCGCCCGTCAGCACCACCTCGTTGCTGATCGGCAGCCGGTAAGGATCGGCCTCCTCCTCGTCGTCATCGTCCGAGGCATCCGACGCGTCCGACCCACCGCCGCCGCCGCCCTCGCCTCTGCTGCCGCTGGGCGGCGGCCGCGGCGGGCCCACCAGGCCCGCGTCGCCGTCCGCGCCCTCAGCCGCTCGCTGCTGGTGATTCCCTGGCGGCCGTGGCGGACCAAACGCGCCGCCGCCACCGCTGCCGCCTGCCGCCGCTCTGCCAGACGGCTGCGCCTCATCCTCCAGCTCCTGCTGCTGCTGCTGCTGCTGCTGGCCCCGAGGTGGGGGCCTTGGGGGCCCAAAGGACACCTCCTTGCGCTTCGTCTTGTCATGCGCCACGTCAGCGCGCGCCGCTTTCACCTCTTGCCTTCCTGCAGTATGGACACATTCAGCGATGGCTGGATCAGATGCTGTTTGGGGCCTGGGTGAAGTCGGCAGCTGTGATGACTGGGTGGGATAGGGTGCAGCGTGGGCTCAAGCAGGCAGCTGCCACGGCTGATGAACGATTTCGAGCGCCGGCCCCGTGGCCCTTGCGGCCCCCTCCCCGGCTTCCTCACAGCAGCCGCGGGCAACCTGCTCACCGAAGGACATGGGCAGCGCTGACCTCAGCTCGTCATCCATTCTGTCGGGCTCCTCCTCGATGACGTCACCGACAACCACCTGGGTTACCAAAGGGGGGTTTGCATACAGTTGGCTTGTTTGCAGCGGGACTTGGCAGGATGGGAACCCAGGCATCAGGAGCGGCCTCCTAGTGCTTGGGTACAGGGATGGGGGGGGGCCGGCTTTGCCAGCTGCCTGGTGCTACTGTTGCTGCTGCTGCTGCTGCTGCTGCTGCTGCTGCTGCTGCTGCGGCAGCTGGATTAGCCGCAGATGAAGCGGCTGCCAAAGCGGCCTTGAGGGAGTGCGAGCGACGCTGCTGCCCAACAGGCGCTCTTGGCCTCTCACCGGCCCTTCGTCGTCATCGTCGTCCTCATCTAATCGAGGAGGCGGCCGCGGAGGCCCAACCGCAGGTGCCGGTGGTCTGCGCGGTGCAGGGGAAGGGCACCGTCAAAAGCAGAACGAGCCCCAGCTGCATGCTGTGCACTATGAGACGGCATGCAAGCGACAGCTGCAGCATTTGTGCGCGCGCCTCGTCGGAAAGCAAAGGCTCACCCCTCAAAGAAGCCGTCACGCTCCTGGCGCGTCTGCTCAACCCGCTGCTGCAGCTGCTTCAACTGCGACTGCAGGGGGCATCGCGGGCGAAACGTTGCAGCAAGCAGCAGTGCGGCGATGGGCTTTGCGCCGGTTGCAGGTGCAGCACGATAGAATGCACCTCGGATCGCTCACCAGCGTCGCTGCTGTACCTCCACGTTGAGCAGCGCGTGCTGCTCTCAGCTCAGCGAGCTCCTCCTCGTCGCTCGACATCCCCCGCGTCCCGTGCAGCACCTGTCGCACTACAGCGCGTATCTAAGAGGCACGCTGAATATGTATGAATACAAAAAATCGCCCAGCACAAAATGCTGGGTATGATCTGTAGATAGCCTCGCAGTGTTTGTCGCCCACGGTTACTATTGATTGCTGCAGCAACAAAAGCATTAAATCCATTCAGAAGGCAGGTATCATGTTGCAGGCAAGCAAGGGACGAAAGGGCGCCGCTTGCGCAAAGACTGACGTCACTCGGTGCCGTCCTTCCAACACCGACAGGGCACGATCCAGCCGCTTGCCACTTGATGGACCGCCGCGCTGTACGCAGCCGCACACAAAGCAACCCTCGCGCCACGGGGCGCGCGTCACGCAGTACTGCTACCGGTACCAAACTAAAACGAAGCCCCCGCCAGGGCAGCCCCCCGTACGCC